AAACGTGTTTTGTCCTGGGCACGATCAAGTCCATTGGTGTGTTTTTACCAAAACTGGAACGGAATTTAGGACTAACCTCAACCGATATAGCACTAGCTCTGGGCTTGTTCGATGCATTTGCATTTGGTCCAGGTATGTAGCCTAGTACAGTGCTGTTATAATCTCTATCTAATCAATGAGTGTTTTACCTGACTGTTGAAGAAAGAATGTATAAGCTTTTAAGTAAACAACCATGGGACCGACGGCTTTAAGTCTTCTCCGAGGAAACTGGTAATGAGGTCTAATGCCTTACCAAAAGGCATTGACTTGATTTCGAACTCGGGACCTCCTGGTTACGAGACGACGGCTCTACCACTGAGCCATATGGCGCCTCCTTCAAATACATATTTCTCCTCTTTATATCCCACGCAAATAATCTCCTTGCCCCACGCCTCTTGAATATGTTCCCTTCATACATCAAGTCAAGTGCACCAATTTAAATTTTCCACAGGAGCTCACAAACTCTCACCATGAACAAAAACCTACAGGATAGTCACGATTTTCATTGCGTTCACAATTGACACTTGTAGTTCTTCGAACCCGGGCTAATAACGTTCTCCATTTTACATACGATTTAAAGACAAACTTGAGTTCTGGTAATGTGATTGCATTGTGAAAGAAAAGATGTGGAATGGATCAGAAAAGTTGATCATATAGCATGTAAGTAATGGTGTGTAATGCAAGGTTCTGGAGTCTTCAAAATCATCATAAATTTGGTAGAGTCTATGGTAAAGTAACACTCACTTACATAGACAGATGTATATGGGACAACACACATGGTGTCGGGGCTAGTACTACCCTGATTTCCTTATCTTTCTATGCTCATTACTCAGCCAGTATACATTTTCTTCCAAAATTGTTTGGCACATGATTTTATTTGTAATCTTGAACATTCAGTGTAAGTTTCGTTAGATTCTGTGAGAATTCATTTTCTTTTTTTACCAGAACTCAAGTTTATCTTTAAGTATTCTTTTTTCGTTAATTGCCAGACAATGAGTGGGAATTATTAGAGATTCTGCACTGATAGTTATCGAGATAAATAATCAGCATGTGCAACTGAACGTTTACATGTATTACCATAAAAGTGTGTGTGTGTGGGGGGGGGGGGGGGGGGTGGGGACTCATTTTTGCACCCCCCCCCCCAAAAAAAAAAAACGAATTGAATCACATAACAACACACAGTTTGATAAGTCATGCAAGGTGTATGTAGTGGCGGATCCAGGGAAGGGCCGAAACGGCCGCGGCCCCCCTATTGGCGGCGCAAAAAAAATGGGAAGGAAAAAAAGAGGAAGAAAAGAAAAGAACAAAAGAAAGGAGAAGAGAAAAAAAGGAAAAAGGAAAGAAAAGAGAAGATAAAAGAAAGAAAGAGAGAGAGAGCGAAAAAAGGGAGAAAAGAAAAAGAAGAAAGCCTACCCCCCCCCACTCCCTCCCACTCCGGGTCGGGGGGGGGGGGACCGAATTTGTGTTCCCAAAATCTCCGGTAAAGGGGTACTTTTCACGCAACAAAGTCCGGCCCGTAATACACAAAAATCGGACCCGAACTGACTTTCGAATCGTCTTCTTTCTCTATTAATTTAATTAAACGTCAAAGCTTCCACGCTTCGCGCTGGAGGAGAAAACTGAATTCAAGCAAGGATTAAGAATCGAGAATGGTACAAAGATTCGTCTTCTTTCTCTAATAATTTAATGAAACGTCAAAGCTTCCGCGGGAGGGGGGGGAGGACTGAATTAAGACAATGATTAAAGGTAAAGACCAGTTATGGTCATGCGATTGCATTGTGAAAGAAACGTTGTGGAATCGATCAGAAAAGGTTGATCATCTAGCATCTAGCATCTGCAAGGTTCTGGAATCATCAAAATGATAAGAAATTTGGCCCATTCTTCGTAAAGTTACAAGCACTATACACAGAAAGATGTATATGGGACTACCCTATATCTCTCACAGACCATGAGAGAAACAAATTTGCCAAATATATGAATTAGTAGGCGGTTTCCCAGCAAATTTTTTATCATCATGTATTAGTCAAAACATATTCTTTCACATGATTGGTAATGAGAGCTTCCATTTCATTTTTTGAAATTGTGGCGTTTCCAATACTGGTCTTTACCTTTAAGAGTAGAAAACGGTACAACGAATCGTCTTCTTTCTCTAATAATTTAATGAAACGGTAAGCTTCTGCGCTATTCGCGGGAGGGGGGAAACTGAATTCAGACATGGATTAAGAGTCGAGGATGGAACAACGAATTATCTTCTTTCTCTAATAATTTCATTACACTATAAAAGGTCAAAGGGGGAGGGGTGGGAGGGGTGAGAACTGAATTCAGTCAAGTAATAAGAGTCGAGAATGGTACAACTAATCCTCTTTTGTTCTCTATTAATTTAATGAAACTTCAAAGCTTCCGCGCTACGCGCATGGGGGGGGGGCTGAATTTAGTCAAGTAATAAGAGTCAAGAATTCTACAACAAATCGTCTTATTTCTCTAATAATAAATGAAAGGTCAAAGCTTCCGCGCTTTGCGCGGGATGGAGGGGGGGGGGGGGAACAGCGAGCTGCCCGAATATGAATTTTTGATATCTTTTCTCGTTTATCTTGGTGATATATAACACTTTCGCAAAATACATATCATGCTCAAATTTTTGCTCGCTCGTTTGGCTCACTAGCCAAATTGTGAAACCAGAAAATTACTTTTTCGGGCAAGAGGCTTCGGCCCCCCCCCCGATGAAAATGTCAAAAATTGTATGACTTAAAAACGGGGAATGTTGATATCGGACAAGAGACGTGACGTGAGCCTGCCCCCTTTCCAAAATTGTGCCTGCTTGTAGGTACCGGTATGGTGCTTCTAATATAACCTTGTCAGTATTGGTATGTTGAGTTGAAAAAAAGGTCTGCGCAATTTTCAAATTGCCACCCCCGGCCCCTCCCCCCCCCACCCCTATTGGAAAATCCTGGATCTGCGCCTTGGTATGTACATGTATATTTAACAATCCGATGGCATGTGCCAGATTTCCACTCTCTCTGACATTGGGTGTATGCCAAAAAATGCCTACATTGTGTCACCGAATCACTATGTCATTTATTCACTTGGCATTAAGCCGACTATACCGTACAGTTTAACTTAAATTCAGACAGTCGTGTAGAGTCGTGTGTACAATATCTGGAAGGGACGATTTTGTTTTAACCTCATGTTCAAACGCTTCGTTCGACAAAATATTCGTGTTTATGCTTTAGATTTTTTAATTGAAATCTATTTTGTAGAAAATCGTCATTTGAAAACCATCCTCAACTTTATTATATATTTTTATTGATGTTATCCCCAGGATAGGTACAATCTTTGTTTTGTTTAAATATGTTATGAAATAAATTGTACATATAAAAACGTATCAACAAGAATAACCTGCAATGTCATGTTTATATGGGACTCTCATTGGTGAACCATAAACGGACAGGGGCATTTGTGTCATCTAATTAAGGGGATGGGTATTAGGAACTAGGGGTGGAATAGTGGGTCAAGGCTACAGCCTTAGTGGGGGTGGGGATGGGGAGGAGGAGGGGGAGGGGTCTATTGTAATTTCCCCTCGCCCCTTCTTTCTTTTTGATCTATTATTCTGCAGCTCTAGTCTAGACGTTATTTTGTTTCCGGGGCAAGACATTTTCAATCAAAACTAGACATTCTTAGCATTAAACCGTAACAATATTTCTCTCATCACTTGATCATTATATCATATGCAAAACCTCAGAAGTCTGTCTCAGTTGTCATGCTTGCCAAAATATTCATCGTCTATACAACAGCCGCATTGAGCTCATGTATAATGAACAGGAAACGAGCCAATAATAAGTTACATCATTTCAAGGCAGAATGGTTTCTCATTGCTCAGTACATCATGCAGTAGATGGACGATAATCTGCGTTCCATGTAATATTGTGCTTGAAACTTTTTCCAATGACAACCAATACAGTGCCGGAAAAAATGAGAATGAGGGTTTTGTTGGTTTGTTCGTTTTTTGTATTTGTGTAAAGTATACAAATTAGGATTGGAAAATGACGGTTGGGGATTAAATAACTAAACCGCAATATCGACCCAGCTATTATATGCATATATCTATATAATTTTGTTGTTATTGTAAAATTAACCTAAATTGTCCTGAATATAGTTAAAATGGCCTTTTTTCTTTTCAAGAATGAGACTTGTCATAAATCTCTGCGTCATGATTGAACAGAAGGTATGCTTTTCTAATACAATAATAATAGTGATAATAATGATAATGATAATAATAATGATGATAATAATATATAATTAATTATAATAAGCCTCATCAGCATGCATCAGTGTTGTTCCTCCTGTCTAATCTCTTTATTGTACTTATTGTCAACTATCCTATGAACCAGTAGAAAAAGACCACCCTTATGACAGGCTTGATCGTAACAAAAGTACTTCAGTTTCACCTTCAGTTATGTTTATTTCATATTTCACATTCACATTAATTACATCAATCAAAACCAATAAACAATAAGAACGACAACAATTGTTCTTCCAATAGGGGTAAAAATACTTACAATAATAGCAGGTCGTGAAAGTGATAATACAGTAAAAAAAAAAAAATAACGTACGTAGATATAAACACAATTGCATGGTATTTAAACTGAAATTAGACAAACACATTTGTCTTGAAATCTAGCCGAAAGTTAAGCTTATAAATTGTAGATAAGAGCTGTCTAATGAGCATGTAGATTATGTTCAATACAAATTAAAGGGGGAGGGAAGAAAAATCGAGAAAGGCTAAGATAAGTCGAAGGACTTATAACAAAAATAATAACATATTCGATACAGTATGTTAGGAATATACGACACCATCCTTTAATTGCAAAAATGTGAACTAAAAAAAATCCTGTAATTTTGAAGTTTTATGACTAAATTACAGTGCTTACTTCTCAAATAAATTATGTAAAAAATGTAAATTGGCGCATGCGTATATTTATGACGATTCATCAGCATTCGTTAGAAACCTTTCACCTTGTTCTGTCAGCTAGGGTTGTGTTGGTCATATGTCTGTATCTTGAGATAACTGGCAAATTTCAACTACACACGTAAACTTTGATGTAATAACTTCACGCGTCTCACGCTTTGCTCCGTCAATTTGTATTCGCTCGAGTCATTATTAATATCGTAGATCATTTAAAAAAGAAGGAACTTGAAGTGCGTTGCACGCACGTTGTGATATGTTGACGTAGGAGTGCGTCAGCGACCGGCGTGACCTTTGACGCATCATGTCAGACTGACGTAGCACAACAAGGAATGCAAAATGAATAGTGCAAACGGTGCTTTGAATCAATTGGCGCAGGGTTAATTCCGTTCATAGCTTTCATTAGCACCATAGCAGGAATGGCGCAATCGAAATGATGATCCACATGCATTAGGCAGTTATGAATTGACGTTATTACATAACTCTTGTTCGTCATGTGTTGGTATTTCAAGCATTTCTACGTATCCTTCGGTTCTCAGGAATCCCGCTGCGGCTTCCAATCTATTCTTATGAGACATTATCGCGGCTCCAACCCCTAGCGACGCGATAAGGGCGACCAATGCAACCGCAACAGCTGCAACCGCCACTGTCGTCGAACTCTTAAAATGCCAGTGATTGTCTTGCGCAGATTTCTTGTATGGGTCAGCGACCGACGGCGTGTTGCTGTGATCCGGTATGATCCGCTTTATCGGGGCACGGCGGTTGGTACCTGGGTTGGCCGCTCCGGCTGGGATTCCAACCGCGTCTCCGTCGGTTGTGACTGACTCTTCACTCTCTCCACTCTCTGTGCTGGATGACGGGGAATAGTCATCTGATGCACCGTTCTGTGATTCGTTCGTCTGGTCCGCTGCGGCTGGATCTACAGCGTTTTGGTTTAATGGAATTCTGAAGTCCTTTACCACCATGCGTAAAGGCCTGTGTGTTGCCATGGTTGTTCCCATTGAAACTTTAAGAGAGAAATGAGCAGTGGTTGATGTTACTGTTAGTCAACAAAGCAAACAAAATGGCCCTATCACAGGCTATTAATACATTAATTTATGTATCAAATATTGTACCAAGACTGTCTAAACAAGATCGAACAATGTCTTTCAAACTTTAAAGGGAAACAAAATCAAGATAGTGTCAATTTTACATTTCATGATACGCGATTGCATTAGCCTTAGGATTCATGACGTACCGTGTAGTTACTGTGTTTAAAGATGACATAAGTGTTTAGAATAAATGGGATAACCAAAACAAACAAATACCATTGATCGTCATTTTAAAGAAAGAGATTACATTCTCACTTCAGAGAATCCAGAAAGACCCGCTTAAACTTTTCAGATTGTATCTCATAGACCTTGCACAACTAATTGTAGGAAGTGGAGATACTTCCGTCCAACCAATTATATCGAAAATAATCACGCTTGCCCGTAAAGTTGGAATATATTTTAAACCTCTTTTTATGAAGTGAATGTGGCAATTTGGTCTATTCTTCATTGAGAAAGTTTATATCTTCTCATAACTTTACTCTATGATCCTGTAAATTAGTTACTGAATATTTGAGAGGATTAATCCAACTTCAAGGCCAACAGGCTAATATTACAGGAAACATTATACAATGTACAAACATGAAATAGATGCAGTATTTTACATATCAAAATTATTAATCACAAGGATTTCCCTAGATGGGGCGTCAGGAGTAGGAGGGGGGGGGGGGGGGGGGTCAAACGCAATGTGCTTACACAGCCGTATGTATGTAAACTGTATTGGAAGGGGGAGTGGGGAGGGGGAGTGGGATAAAGGGGGCTTAAAGCTGGCTCACATGAGTGTCAAGTCTGACAGACATGAGCGCTATACAAGAACCCCCCATCATTGTGCACACAGTGTGTGCGGGCAAGCACTGAATCCAATGACCGGGGTAATAGTATATTTGTAAAGCGCTTAGAGACATTTGTATTAAGCGCTATATAAAAATTAAATATTATTATTATTATTATTATCATTATTATTATTATCATTATTATTATTATCATTATTATTATTATCATGAAATTGGGAGAAGGAACTCCAGGCTTTCGATGTTTGATAAGCTACATCATTGCCACACAAAGTTCAAAACTGTAAAAAGAGAACTTACCAACGAAGCAAACAAACACGAAAACATGGAGTGATGATGCAAATAAGTCCATGTTTACAAACTTCTGTTGTAAGGTATCCTAACAACCAAACTAGCATGGAGACCGCGGGAATTATTTCAAAAGTTTGACTCCTAGATGAGCAATACAAGATAATTGACGGAGAAATCATTTAATCCAACTGTTTATATCAAATCCATTCAAACTCATAAACAAGTAGCATTAAAGTCATGCTACTTGTCCTGCCAGTCCCATTGAGTGTAACGTGTCATGAGAAGAAGATGGCATGAAGTAGACTGATCATGGATCTGACATGTTCGGAGCGATGAAAGGTATTCAACTTGCAATGACCTTAGCAATAAAACAAAGTTCCTTGGGCAAGATAAAGCGCTTTCATGTTTGACTCACTCTTTTTCTCTTTCAATTAAAGTGTTTGATTAAAGTTGGCAACGTGTATCATATTGTGAGCATTGAGAGGCCGACAGACGGTGCACTTGTTGAGCATAGCAGTGGACCCCTCCCCTCCCCCCGCCCACCCCCCCCCCCTCCCTCTTGCGTGGATTGAAACTCTGAGTAATGATAGACATGGATCTTGCGTTTTCACGTTGAAAATCCCTGTGATTCTAAAAGGCTTCATTTGATTTTGCTTTAAAACGTTCTATGAGGCTTGAAATCGATTCCTCCGTTTCTAGCGCGTTAGGATACCCCTCACTGCAAGGCCCTTGAACCAGGGGGGGGGGGGGGGTCTTTTTGTTGTCTTTTATGATACGTAAGGCTATTTTGAATGGGCGTTGGTGGGGGTCACACCTAATCTTTTACAAGATGACAGTTTATCAATTTATGTATATGTATACATGCTAAAACAAATGTTGTTTTCAGATTTCCAATATTTGCTGACAATGGTAAAACGATCACCTATTTTCAAATTAGCCTCCAGGTGATGCAAAACTATTTAACAAATAAAAAACAAAGAAACAAAAATCCTCCCAAATATCAAGCTTACCGACAGATATGCGTCGTGTAGTTATTATAATAAGGACATATAATCCTCTAAATCATGAATTTCAAATCGTGAATCTTTCAAATCCCCCTCCCCACGCTTCTACAGACACCCTATCAACTCGCCAAGAAACCTGATGTGCGCTCTCTCCCTGGACACATAATTACAATTCCACTGTGCAGAACCAGGGACTTGGGAGACAAATCCCTGGCAGAACACAGCCAAACACATGGAGATATGCAGTGATATAATTGCATATGAGCGCTCTTTGGCTGAAGGTGCAAGGTTATATTTCTGGTTATACAAAACAGTAGTAACTGTGGGAATTGATTCTGACAGATAACCACACTGATCATTATTGAAAGCGTCTAACCTGCTCTAACCAGGTGAAACAGCTACTAGCTAACACAAGTTGATCCTAATAAGCATGTAGAACTACTATACAATGAATTCAATGCTTTCCTCCACTCTATTGAAAAAGAAGTGCTTCAAATACGGGGAGAGTGCTAAATTAGAAGAAAAATATACCACCAGACTAAGGAACCCGTTGGAGAAAATGATTTCTTTTTCGAGTAATGGTCCTGTACCAAGATCCCCTATTATTTTGAAAATCTTGAAAATTGAAACACAGCGCGTCTCAATTTCATCAGATGTTTTTATTTTGTACTGTTAAACTAACCCACCGATGATTCGTATGGAGATGTTATATAGCTTCAGGGGTGAGGCGGGGTGGTTAGGAGAAGGGAGGAAGAGAGAGAGTGAGAGAGATATAGAGAAAGATAGGGGAAAGAGAGAAAGAAAGAGAGAGAGAGAGAGAGAGAGGGGGGAGAGAGAGAGAGAGAGAGAGAGAGTGAGAAAGAGGAGATATATATATATATATATATAGAGAGAGAGAGAGAGAGGGGGGGCCGGGTGAGAGAGAGAGAGAGAGAGAGAGAGAAAGAGAGGGGGAGGAGGGGGCAGAGTAGGTATACTCGAGAAAATGAAATGGAAGGTAATAGAGGGAAGAGAGAGGGGAACTTGGAGAGAGAGAGAGAAAGGGGGAGGGACAAAGAGCAAGAGAGAGCGATATATAATTATATATAGAGAGAGAGAGAGAGAGGGGGGAGAGAGAGAGAGGGGGAGAGAGAGAGAGAGAGAGAGAGAGGGGGTGTGAGATAGATAGATCTATTATTATGGTTTAGAAGCCTACGCCATACAATCATTATTTCTTTAGCATGCTCTCCCTTTCAGTATATACTTTTAGGTCAACAATGTCCCATTATCATTTTCAGTTCTTCAATATTTTTATTTCGTCTTTTATGCAATCTTATAACATTGTTTTAATTTAATATTAAATTATATGTACTTTGTAAATATAAATAAATATATAATCAAAATCAAACCAAACAGTGAGAGGCAAAGTAAAAAAGAAAACAATTGCACCCTTCATTTACACCTTCACCCAACTAGCTTGTTCTTCCGTATTTTATACACTTTGTAAGACCAAATCCTTACCGGTACAGATTATTGTGTAATTCTGCAGCATTTTAGTGTTGGACTTATTCTTGTCATCTTCTTTGATCTAGTGTTGGACTTATTCTTGTCATCTTCTTTGATCGTACTCCCTTTCTTATTCAGGATATACCTTTTTATCTTATTTTTCTGTTTCGTCATTACATGCTTCATGTACAATTGAAAACGAAAATATGTTACACTCCAGCAATATTTTCGTATTTTGGCATACACAGTAAAAACGCTGCTTAAAAAAGTGATGTTCACTTACAGTTGTACACTATCTTAAACAACAGTTGAACAAATTGTAAACAATGTTGCTCGAAACGAAAGTAATTTTGTTAAACATTCGCTGTTTAAAATTAATTTACTATACGAGAGCTTTTAGACAGTGTTGTTTACATATGACGTCATGTGTCACGTGCCAGTAAAGTGCGCGTTGGCTAAAAGCTTTGTTTCACATCATGGCCGACCATGCTGTAGAGGTGTCGTGGATGAGTGGAAACGTCGCCGGACTGTCGATAACAAGGTCCACGGTTCGAGTCCCGCCGCGGCACTAATGTCCTTTGGCAGCCTAGCATAGCCGGGTAATGTTGGAGCGCCTTGAGGACCTTGCAAGGTCGGTACAGTGTGCGCTATATAAAAATCCAATAGTATTATTATTATTTAACAACAGCTCCTTTTTAAACAACTTTCTTTAAACAACCCAGTTGGTGTAAACAAGCCCCACTGAACAACAGCTCCGTTTTAAACAACTTTCTTTCAACAACCCAGTTGGTGTAAACAACCCCCACTGAACAACAGCTCCGTTTTAAACAACCGTCTTTAAACAACACCGGTTGTTTGAATTGTGATTTTAAACAAGTTGTTCAAAATGTTGATCAACTAAGTGTTTAAACTTTAAACAACTCGAGTTGCTTAACATTTTAAACAACTCTTAGATCAGGTCACCCGTTAATCCAAAGTTGTTTAAACTTTTAAACAACATGTTCACTAAAATTTTAACTGTGTACTGCAGCGAATCGTTCAGGGGAGTTGATCGTGATAGGATATGGACCTAATACAGAAGAGCTGGTAGTACTATTGTGCACATTATATGGATGAATTGGTCAGCCACATCCTTTCCGATTTCAACAAACTGACACATTTCTATGAACATGATGAAAACACGTAGATTTTTCCAACTGTGACACGTGACCTCCCCCGCCTAAACTCAATAACCTAACAAGTTAACAAATGAGGTGAAATCTTATGAAAACAATTTACAAGACCCGATGTCGTGTTGCTATTTGAATCACACATAATTTATCTAAAGCAAAGAAATAATTAGCATCTATTTTGGGTAAAAATCCTCACAAATAGTCACTAATCCGATAAAATACCTATTTAATACTATTTGTGTCCTTAATTGCACTTGATATCGAACTACGTGTGTACTCACTTGTAACCTTATCTTAAATAGTCCAAAATAGGACTCGCTCAAGATATTTATAGCATAGAAAACTGTGTACGTTTTTCAATTAATTATGTTTCCATTTAATGTTTCAAATGCAAAAGATTAAATCACAAAGATTGGTATTTAGAACTTGTTGAAAACTTACATTAACTTTTATGAAATGAATGACTGCACAGTGACGCTTCGGTATTAATTCTCCTCCCCCTTCAGGCTCCCCCTTCATCAACTCCACGATCCAACAGCTAGTAGGCTCTACATTTATCTTTAACACAGTCCTAATATTAAGCACTCTCACATTAAACGTCCTATTTCTTTCAAAATGTCACCATCTTGTTCCGTTCCATCGATTGTTTTGCTGTCACGCAATTATTCAGTTTCCTTATTACCAAAGAATTATGTTTGAAACCATTATACTAAGCATAATATTTTCAGTGTTTAAAATAATCTAAAGAAATAAACAAATTAGTATCTCTCAATCTATATACTATTTTCTTAATATTTAATGTTCTTCGACTGCGATTTTGGTCGCAAAAACAAAACCATGTTCCAATGTCTAAGAAAAAAAAAACGGTTTCTTTGGAAATAGGTTGTCAGTTCAACGCAGTGACACAATCGTGTACATTTTATCCGCGTTTTTGTTATCTTGGTAGGATTTTTCCTAAATATCTATGCTGTCTTTAACAAGTCATGGCTTTTGGTCACACTCAATTAAAGAGATACAGTTTGCCCTTTCCGATCTGTATTTTCGAATATGCAAATAAACCTTTACTCGAGAAGCTACAGAGTTGGTTATGCTTATCAAAGATTTGCAAAGACATCGCTGATAACTATTTATTGTAGTTACGTAATCAAAGACAAATCTGCGTCTATAAAGCCGTGTTTTCTTTTTAGTGCTCCGTCATGTGTATCGAGTCCTAAATCATAAGAAGCAAGACATCTCAAGCGCTGTAGATACTTCCTACAACATTTCCCTTGATGTCTAAGATTTGGAACCGGTAGAACAACACAACGTGATAAAGTTCTACCATTTTTTGACATAATTATACTTTACTGAAGTCATCGAACCTGAAGTCGACATTCAACTTTGGAATATCAAGTTTTTTTCGTAATTCTGTTCGGAAACGTCTCGTTTTTCTTTTTTTCTTTTCTTATTCAGATTTATATGATATCTCGTTAATGTTCACTGTTGAGGACTGTCAAGAAAAACAAACGCTTTGTGTGTGTTAACACAACAAAACCAACATAACAAACCACAAAGGGAATAACAATTAAAGAATGTCTTTGCTAACAGACTATTACGGTGTGGCTTTGGCAGTTCTCAGCCTAGTCCTGACGCTGATATGGTACTTGAAGAACTCGAGCAGCTGGCGGTATCGTAATCTACCACCGGGCCCCTTGGGGCTACCCATCCTCGGTATCCTTCCCTATCTCGACGAGAAGAACCCTTCCGTCGATGTCCTTCGAATGTCCAAACGATACGGGCCGATCTTCGGGGGTTTTCTTGGAAGCCATCGCGCCGTGTTCCTCAATGATTACGATACAATCAAAGAAACGTTCGCAAGAACAGATGATGTCTTCAGCGACAGACCGAGGATAGCAATATTCGAACTCTACAGCGACGGACAAGGTAAGAAAATAGTTCCATTTCGATTCATGATTATTTAACTGAATTTTCTTAATTTACGGTGTTTACAATCAACCATGCAGTTGGAGTTTGACGATAAGGCAGCGTATTAAACAAATTAAAGAGGGGGGAAATATACTAATACATGTAATTTATGAATCATTGTCCATCCCGAAATGAACTGAATTGTAAGAACCTGGTAAAATAAATAAAGTAAACAAATAACAAAAAGAGAAAACCATTCTTTAACTCAATTTATTGTTTATAAAAACGTATATAGAGACAAAAATCGCCCTCACTATATTTTGACGAATTGAAAAGGCTTTAAAATTGAGAGGGAGTGGTGGAGGGGTACGGTGTCATTATGTATTTATTCAGAGCGACACACGTATACTTAGACTGAATGTCAATTTGGTTGTCTGGATCTCTGAAAGGCCCCAGCAATATATCCACTCCAGTGATAACTACAAGAAAATGCAATCGCCAAAACAATGTTACGTCAAATATGGACTATATTCTCGATGAGCTTGTGTATATTATAGATTTTCATGCAATACATTTTGTTGCAATTTTTTCTTCATTTACAAGTGTTAACAAATTAATTTATCATCATCATCAACTTATATATATATATATTACTTCGATCTACATCAGCTCCTTCCCTTGTCATTCCCAACAGGCTTTCTTCAAACTTTTCAATCCATTGTCTGACGCATATTGAACAATTTCTCTGCATTTATGAGAAATAGGACTTCTTCACTCGACTTGTTTTAAATCTGAAAACAAACTTCGACAATTCTTTTTAATTTGTTCAAAGACAATGTCCTTTAACGCTCGGAAAAAGGCGCTATATTAATCCAATTATTATGATTGTTATTTACGTAAGTTCTGACGGTGGAAAAAGTAATAACGAATTTTTCTTTGAGGCAAATAGTCATAAATTATTTTTCTGTCATTCATTATCATTTCCCATCCAGGGGTAGCATGTTGCTACCTGGAAAATCACTGGAAGGAGCAGCGTCGCTTCACCCTTCGTGCCCTGCGGAACTACGGCATGGGTCGTCTCCAAGGTTCGCTTCGGAATGCCATCGATGTTGAGGTTTCACACCTGATGACGGCGATGTCGAAGATCAAGAAACCATTTGATCCAAGAATCTATGTCGAATCGGCTGTCTGTAATATCACCTGTAAGATGGTCTTCGGGAGGCGATACGAGTATGAAGACGCCCAGTTCACCGAGTTCCTTCACAACTTAGAGAAGATCTTTGAACTATCCGGTGTTGCTGGTACGTATTCCTTGTAGTAAAGTGCAATAAAGACAGGATCCAGGTGACCATAGCGGCGGTAGGCCCATGGGACTTTCTCCGGAATCTTACCTAAAATCAGCGTCATCTCCTTGGCCGAACTTGAAACGTAGACAACTATGAAAACAACGAGAGCAACTGTAATAGTTTGTTTAGTGTTCATTCGTTCGTTGATATTAAATTAACCCGTCGACTACTGAGTTCTCAAAGGTTTAATACAGGAATACCCCGATTCAATTGACTAATTGGTCAAAGGTACTATATCCCATTTGCAGGCCTACATTTTTTATTTGTTATTATTATTTTTTTTAAATTGCAAAGGCATATTTTCATTTCATTTCATTTATTTCATTCTCCATAAAAAAACACATCAAAACATACAAACATGGTATACAGATAAAAGATCGATTACAAGAAAAATACAAAGGTCAGGAGCAAACAAAATTGTATGGGAATGTGGGGTTAACAAAAAGGGCAATTAGCCTTATGAACGTCAACCCTTTAAGAAGTATACATTGTACTGTTGAGAAAAGAAAAAAGGAAAAGGAAAGCAGAGAGAATCTAAACACCAATACAAAAGAAGGGGAAAAAGGAAGAAGGGAAGGGGAGGGGGAATACGTTAAAGATGAAATACATGAAAGATAATACTAATTTAGAACTTCCCTCAAAACGAAAGGGCTTGAAAATGTCTTTTAGTGGGAAAATAACGAGCATTAGTTGTCAAATCGACTTTAGTGATTCCAATCACATAAGTCTGATTTTCAAACCCTTATTTGTCGTTTCTCTTTGCTTGTACCGAATGGTTGTACGTTTTGTGCTGCGCAAAGATTCAATCAGTTTAATTTTGGCCATTATAAAGAAGTGGACTATTGATGTAGACAAATGCTCACGTACCTTTACAGCTCATTTTATGTATGTTATTACCAATGAAAAAAGGTCAGTCAGTCAGTCACTCAAAAGTATCTGACAGTGAAGTCTAGAAAGTAAACGGGTTTCCTTGCATAATTTGAATAAAAGGACACTGCTAACGTTTACATTTCACAGAATTTGATAGAAGCTGCAAATGGGCAAAACAGTTTTTAAAGATGTTAGGATAGGATTTTTGTGCCACTTTTAACAAAAATAAATCCGTCTCTTTTGCCGTAGCATTTAATTAATGGAAAATGTGCATCAAATGACATTAAATGTTTGTCTTTCTTTTATAATGTCTACATATACCTTTGAAAGACTTCATTAAACATTAAAATAATGCAATGTTGTTCAAATTGCTATTTGACAAACAACGTGTGATGTACTACTTCTTTACATTCAAACTAGCATAGGTTCGATGGATAGAATTGATACTGATTCATCAAGTCTTATTCCAGTACCTGATGGTATCAAGCTTGATAAGTTTAAACTTTTATCTGAACAGGAAGTAGGGAAACTTGTGATGAAGCTCAGCAAGAAGTCTTGTTCTGCTGATCCGATTCCAACAAAGATTCTCTTGCAATATATTGATGTTATACTACCTGTGTTCACATCCATGATCAATGTCTCCTTGTCTACGGGCCACTTTCCTAAAGAATGGAAAGTCTCACTTGTTTCACCATTGTTGAAAAAACCAGGGCTTGATGTTGAATTTGGTAATCTTAGACCCATAAGTAACCTACAATACATTTCTAAATTGGTAGAAGGTGCAGCCACACAACAGATTTTACAGTTTCTTAACAGTAATTCACTCCTTCCATCCAATCAGTCTGCATATAGACAGTTTCATAGTACAGAAACGGCACTACTCAGGATCAAGAGTGATATTCTGATTGCAATGGACAGACAGAAAATCACTCTCCTGTTATTACTTGACTTGAGTAGTGCCTTTGACACTATTGAGCATTCCAGATTACTAGATATTTTGAAGATATGCTGCGGTATCGACGGTGTTGCTCTCGGCTGGATCGAGTCATACTTGTCTGATCGACATCAAAAAGTTAAAATTGATGGCATTGTCTCTGACTCTTTCCAGGTGCCCTTTGGTGTGCCACAGGGCTCTCGGCTCGGCCCTTTGCTTTTTATGTTATACACGAGTAATCTAATCAAGAGCACTCAGGATAATTTTCCTGAAGTCTCCTGTCAATGTTATGCAGACGACACACAATTATTTTTATCCTTTAGACCATCCACTAGTACTCAAGATGCAAGTGTTTCAATGTTGGAAAAATGTGTTAATTTTATTCATAGATGGATGCTTAACAATAATCTTAAGCTAAACGATAGTAAGAGTGAATTTTTGGTTATAGGAACTCCACAACAGATCTCAAAAATAAGCATTGACGGTGTAAGAGTTGGATCATCCAATGTGATACCCTCTGTTACAGCAAGGAATTTAGGAGTATACTTTGATACTAATTTAACCATGGAAACACATGTTAAAAATATATGCAAATCAACATACTATCTTCTGTACAATCTCAGACGTATCCGCAAATATTTTGATCAAGAAAGTATGAAATTGGTTGTAAACGCTCTTATCACAAGTAAGCTTGATTATTGTAACGGGTTGCTGTTTGGAATGCCTGATTCTCTGATAGCTAAGTTACAAAGAGTACAAAATGCATGTGCAAGACTTGTCTATCGTCGGTCGAAATTCACTTCAACCGCACCTCTTCTGAGAGAACTCCACTGGTTGCCAGTCCGTCAAAGAATCTCATTCAAAATATTGTTAATCGTCTATAAATCATTGAGCGGTCAAGCGCCTAATTACATCAAAGAATTACTTCAACTCAAAGTCCAATCACACAGTCGTAGCCTGCGCAGTTCCACAGATAAATTACTGTTTCAGATTCCCCATGGCAAAACTAAAGTAACTCTTGGGGACCGTGCTTTTGCTATTGCCGCACCCAAATTATGGAATAGCTTGCCAATAGAAATAAGAAGCACTCCATCTCTCAATGTTTTTAAATCCAATTTAAAAACTTGTTTGTTCAACTGAGTGATCTTATTTTGTAGAATTTAGTAAAAAGGAGCTCTTAACCAGCGCAGCTGAATATATTTTGTATAAAAGCTGCGCTATATAAATCTATTATTATTATTATTATTATTATTACATTTTACGGAAAATTCTTAACTTTTCATTTTAATATAATTATTGTGAAAGTTGTCAAATAAATTCAGAATTTTACATTTACCACCACAGGAGTGGTCAACTACCTTAGCTGGATGAAGTACGTCCCCTTCAGCGGCTACCACGCCTTGGGGGACTGTGTGCGACATCTTGAAAACGGTCTCTTCACCAAAGAATGCGAGGAGCACCAGAAGGTCTTCGACCCCAACCGCAGCCCCAGAGATCTCATCGAGGCATTCCTCCTGGAGTTGCATAAGAAACAACAGGAGAAGGTGGAAAATAATGGTGAAGATATGAGACCAACGGGGTTCAACCACCAGCAGATGCTGCATTTCATCGCTGACGTCTTTGCAGCGGGTACTGATACGACAGGTGCGTTTCGTGTTCCTGTAGAATGCGTTTAGTTTGTTTGTAGTGCTCTTGTAGAATGCGTGTTAGGGATGGTGATAATGATGATAATGCTGATGATGTCGATGGTGATGATGCTGATGATGCTGATGATGTCGATGGTGATCGTGATGATGATGATAATGCTGATGAGGTCAATGGTGATGATGATGATGATGATGATGGTGATGGTGATGATGTTGATGATGATGATGATAATGCTGTTGATGGTATGATATTATGATATTTCGTAGGCTTTTTACATGTGACTCGGTTTGAGCCTCAAGGCTGGACGCGACTACGTGGCCCCGTTGCATAAAACTTACCATTGATGGTAACTTTGCCATCAATGGCAACCACCATGGTAACAGGGCCCAACAGCCAATCAAAATCAAGGTTTCCATGGTAGTTACCATTGATGGTATTAAGTTTTGTGCAGCGAGCCCCTGGTCTTTGTTTACCCCTCCCCATGCCGGTGATGATAAAATATAGTAGGAGGAATATTATTGTGACAAAGATGATGATCTAGGGGATGAGTTGCCAAATAATGGGCATTGTGACGAGTATACCGAAGACGATGATCATGATTACAGTGGTGAAAATACAGTGATGATTATTAGGCAAGAAGGTAAAAGCCTGGAAGAAGAAATGTTTAAGGAATAGAAGAGGAAGGAAAAGGGACGAAAACTCACGAAGATGAGAAACAAACAAAAAAGAGAAAAGAATACAAGCCTCATAGATTGACGATGGGGTTGAAGATATGGAGATGTAGAAGAAGGAGGAAAGAAGAGAAGAAGAAGAAGAAGAAGAAGAAGAAGAAGAAGAAGAAGGATACAAATAATATGATAATATTTGTTGTTATTAGCACTTCGGTTATTTGACCTCCCCCGGAGTTTTGTTTTTTATTTCTATTACATTTAATTAAATTGCACAATAGACCGCTCTTTTATATAAGAGAATCTGCAAATTACAATTACTTTTTAGTAGATTCCCTCATTTATCACTGCGAATCCTGTCTAATTTATGTACATTTATATCTCGGTATGTTGTTTCTACTCCGTTATTACTTTCATGGCTTGATATCATTGTATGTACTTTTATACCTATTGATAGATAATATTTCATTCTTGTCTTTTATTTTTTATTGAATAACGTAAAAAAAAATGTGAATGCGACATATTATGATATAAACTAAACTGGAAACCGAAACCGAGGGAGGGAGAAAATATACGATGATGAGGAATCACAATGACTCCGACAAGGAAGTAAATGCAGAATAACAATAAAAAATAACTGTTCGGATGACATTTGGTTAAATATGTTTATCATTCATTTTTTGAACTCTCCTTTCTACATTACAGCTTCAACCCTGAAGTGGTCACTCATTCATTTGATGAAGTTTGAGGATGAGCAGCGGAAGATACAAGAAGAGCTTGATCACGTGATAGGACGGGATAGAATGCCATCTCTCGAGGACAAACCAAACCTACCTTACACTCAAGCCTTCTTAGCGGAGAGCTTGCGATACGGTTGCGCAGGCCCTCTAGGTAATACACGTTTTACACTTGAATTTGAAGGGAGATGTTAGTCATGTGTTTTCATGTGCAGTAGGTCATAATTCGCTGACACCAGACTAAGTGGAAAAACCATAAATGGGTGTACAACTCTCGCACACACCAAACCCGTGGTCCAAGCAAGAAATACTCCCTAGCCTCTCAGAGAGTCTTCGGGTGAGGGAAATGTAAGCTAATGACTTTTCCATATCAGGCGATAGGTGGAAAATGCAGAACATTACATAAGACCTGTTGTACATAAAACTGAAGGTTTATCCTGGTGATTGGCAATACCTGTTATTGAGTAAACACGCGAATGATGTCGCATTCCCCATGAGAACCCATTACTATGCGTCTCTAAATGCATATTGCAAACGAGACGTCATTTCACTTGCGTTATTACATGCGCTGTACAGGAAATCAGCGCAAGACAGCGTTTCAAACATTCATTTTTCATTAACATTTTTGAAAGAGATAACTTTCACATGACGCGTCTAAGTCTGCGTCAGGCGCTGACGCAGTATTACGTCACACAATGGACGCATCGAGTGCAACAGGCAAAGTAATCACTCCCGCTACCGTTTTGTCGATGGAGTATAAAAGGTCCATGTATAGAACGTGACGCTTAATTGAAAAACTGATTAAGTGATGGTTCATTTACAGTAACAATCCTGCAGGTCAAACTTTATTAACTAGGGTTTAGGGAAAAAATAAATCAAAATTGACATTCGACATTAAAGAAAAGGCTGCCAATCGCAGTAGATTAGAGGTTTACCAACAGTTATCAATGCATGCTGACTCGAACAAGATGCCGCCCAAAAGAGGGCGAAAACCAACTTTTGAATATACGTGTATTATTACAAACAATCCATCGCAGAGGGCGACATAACACTATGGTGCTTACTTGAGAATAGGCGCGATCTTTTTTTATTTGGAAATTACTGGAACGACACATAATTACCGACACGTATTAACCCATTGCTTACTGGAACCTGGTGGTCCCTATGTTAAGTCTATGGGAATTAGATAATTCAGTAGTCAACGGGTTAAGCAAACGTTTATTGAAAGGAAACTTTAACGAAGACAAGTTCGGAGAACGGAGCATTGAATTCCTTCTGTTTTCCATATCCCTTATTCACAAATAATCTATTTCACTTTATAAATAATGTTACCCTGCGAAATATTAAATCTTAGTAGAAGAAAGTGATGCTGTACGATGTAATGACTCACCCCCTCCACAGTCATGTAAAAGCTTTGCTATTCAATAGGCTCGACTTGTATTACAATGCATTGGGGGCGCTTTTGTCCGAAATTCGGTTTAATCTGAGGTTTAATTCTAGCTATTGTTAAATATAATTTTAGATCCCGGGTTGGATTTATCTGAATTATTATATTAAAGTCCTTACCGTGTAAAACGAGTCTGTTGTTCGGAATTATATTGAGAATGAAAAAAGGAGAATATATGACAAAGATAGTTTTCATGTAATAATGTATAAGAGAGGGGATAGTAGATTTCCCTGAGGAAAGTCGTAATCGCTCTATTCCTTCCATCTCCCAGGTGTTCCTCACGGAGCGAAGGATGACACGAAGCTCCGCGGCTACGACATTCCCAAGGGGACCGTGATCGTCGCGAACCTCTATGCTGTGCTCTACGACCCAAAGGTATTTCCTGAACCAGACAAGTTCAATCCATCACGATTCATCGATGAAGAAGGCAGAGTAAAGACGTCGCTGATTGAAAGGGCACATTCTCAATTTGGAATAGGTAAATTATCAAAGGGCCATTTTCATAATGATATCAAATTCTAATGCATACGTCTTTCTAGAGTATCTTGTTTCATTCACCTGTAACGAATAATTGTTGTTAACATGTACAGTACATGTATTTCAATAGTCATAATGCAAATTGCCTAAATACGTGTTGTTAGGTTGAGCAGGTCTGCCAGGTCATAATGTTTGTGCTACCTAGCAATCAACTTATGTATGCAAGTTAGGCTGAATATGCTCTCGCAAGACCCTGCTATGATTGATTTTACCCCTATTATACTCTTCCCCTGATTGTTTTATTATTGAGCAGTAATAATAATAATAATAATAGCTAGTTCTTATATAGCGCTTTTCAAGACCAAAGGCCCTCTCAAAGCGCTTTACAGATATATATATTATACGTTTTTAGTCGATGTTTTAATCGATGGAGCATTTTTTATTTCATTACTTAAAGAATTCCAAAACTTTGGACCCCCCTTCATACATATATATATATATATGTATATAAGTTTTGTTTGAGCTAAGAGGGTATGCAAGAGACGTAAATGAAAATCGTCCGAATGTCTTGTTTGGCAATTATGAACTGGGCTATTTAAAAAAAAAAACATTTCTTGAAAAAAAGATGGCAATACATTATTTTTATTATTGTACATAAATTGACCTAGTTGGAGAAAATATGAGTCTTGTACCTTTAGTATCTTATTCTTAAAAAAAAAAAGAGTCTGTACGGGAGCGTAAGGGGGAATTACAAATAATACGAATGATCTTCTTTATCAGCACTTTATCTATAATGACGTTTGATGTTTGTAACTCCAAACTAAGAGACCATAGTTCAAGTATGGGAGTATCAAAGATCTATAAAGCATTATTAAGGATTTGATTTTTCCAAGAAAGCTTTTTGTCAACCGTTACACCCAAAAATGTATTGATAAAGCGTCTTGTTTAAGAGTAGAATAGAGGCAGGGCTCCCACCTAACCGAGTTGGAGCCTCGAGTTGTGGCGAGCTTATGGCAAGCCGTTTTATCATTAAAACATATTTCTTGATATCACGGATTCAATTCTTAAAGTCAAGAATTACCATTGCTTTACAACGCAAAATTATTTATTGATATCAAGAACTGATTTCTTGATATCAAGAAATATGTTTTAATGATAAAACGGCTTGCCATAAGCTCACGCCAGCTCGCCACAACTCGAGGCTCCAAGTCGGCTAACTGGGAGCCCTACGCACACGCACGCACCACACAGAATATGTCTGACTTGGGTTCCGTGTGAACCCTATACGAGTTTAAACAAAACAACCCTTTAAGTGTCTTTCTTTTTTATTTGTAATCATGGTCATGTATTTTCTGTTTTATTACCCAGGCCGACGACAATGCGTTGGCATGGACATGGCTCTTATGGAACGCTTTGTCTTTATCACAAACCTCATTCATCGCTTCAACGCAAGGGCACCAAACGGACCTGACTCCGTCACCATTGACGCAAGGGGTGGACTGGCCTTTGTGCCCATGCCATTTGAGATGCAGCTGACGGAGCGATAGCCTGCCTGATCAACAGTATTTCTTTCCTTTCAAAGCGCACGCTGCATTTAAAAAAAAGCTGAGGCCAAGTAGAAATGACAGCATACGCTATTCATTCAAACAATGTTTGTACAAATTTACGTTTTGTATGTCACCCACATGTGGCGCGTCAATGACTGCACTTTCTGCATCATCAGGTCCATTGTAAACGAAGCGTTGTTTCTATTACGCCATTTGAACACGGACATTCGACCACACAAAAACGTCGTACACTAAGAACTAGGCTATTCATCCACGAAAAAACAGGTAAAGCAATCTAAACAAACCAATTAGTGCGTACATGCAGACCATCAATTTTAGCAAATCGTGCAAAGCCGCCATTTTCAGAGCCCAATCTTATAAACAGTTGCGATTAATCACAATTTACAAACGATATAGAAGACTGCAAACTTGCGTTCGATTATAGGAATTACGGTTAATTCGGATCAATCGCAACTCTATATAAGACGGGGCCATGGAGGGGTCTGTTTCTGGTAGTTTACTTTGACATCAGTTTTGCTAAACAGTAATCAATTGGCGCCCTCTGGCGTAATGGCATATCACTTCGTGTGCAACTGGCTGAAAAGTCGGAAAGGACACGTTGTGTAAAATGGAGTTTCATGTCATATTTAGGCCTTCTTAATGAAAGATGCTCATTCAGTAGAAAACTTTTAAAAACACCTAAAACACATGATTATATCACTTTTGCTTTGCTTTTCAGCTTTAGGTTTTACTGATATATTTAGTTGTATATTTTGTATTTATGTTGTTATATTTGTCATTAGTTATGTGCCATTTGCAATTGCTATATTGATACCAACATTTGTGTTGGGTGTGAGTATGTTTTTATTCTGCAAACCAATCTCTTGCATTCGTAATTTTTAACTTTTCCGAAGAGCTTTGTATCTGCCTTAAGAAAAGGCGCTATAGAAATGCTTATTATCATTATTATTGTAAATGTCATTGTCATTGTCATCAGCAGAAGTAGTAGTAGTTATAGTAGCAGTATCATCATCATGAAAATCATTATCATGATTATGGTTAGTTTAGTAAGATTAAAATATGTCATGTTTTTTTACCCACTTGTATAATGGCATCGTCAAGTAGAACATATTTTATACTTCTCTTTCACCGTGTCACAGGATCATCGCTTATTAAATACTATTTGTCATCGCAATCTTGCAAAATTCGTAGTTGTCTTTTTAGTAAATACTTAAGTCTGATAGGACAAAATTTATCTGTGAACGAGAAACATTCTGAACCTTTTTCAATACTCTTCTAAAAGGAAAAAATAGTCAGTTTGTATGTTAATGCAAAATGTAGAGCAAGTCTAGCTAGCCTAGTAATTCCTAGAATACTTGAAGTTATAACTAATACCTTGTTCAGAACAACGCTCTTAAGTTCAATACCTCAGCTAGTGTTTCACGATGAACGCCCTCACCTAGCTATAGGCTTTATCTGTATCATTATCACTAACCTTTCACCTATTCGACTTTATACGCATGGGCTTTTAGTTCTGCATCACTGTTTTATTTGTTTTCTAACTTTTCCGTACAAGTCACACTCGATTAACAATGCATAATAATATTTGTTTTTTCCTTGATGAAAATTTTATATGATGATGATAAAATAAAACTTGAACTGTGAAGTTTGAACCGGCCTGTTAATACTGTTATCAATTAAGTGTTACATTTAGAAGAAAACAAACAAATCATAAAACATTGCAACACAATTTTGTAATGGGGGATGTCGGAACAAAGATAATGGAGAAGGATTAGAAGAAGAGGAAAAAGAAGGGGGAAAAAGAAGAAAGGGAAGAAGAATATTAAAGAGGACTTTTTATTCTGCAATTTGGCGAGAAGACTCTAAATGCCAAAAGTTATGCAAGCGGGTAATTCAGAAAATTTGATGAGATAGGGTTAGGGTAGTATACACGTTAATCTGGCACTATGATGCACGTGCCACTAAATGAATGTAGCTTGAGGGGAATTCACAAAATTAGATTATACCTCTGAAATATTGAAGTACGATACTAGAAACCTCTCGAAGAAGAAAAGGAAAGGAAATGAATGAATACGAAGGAGAGGAGAAACAGAATGAAAGAATAACGACTGAGCACTATCGAACGAATAGCGATTATTTCATTTTGTCTTAAGCACTCACACAGACGCCCCCTCCACACACACAGACGCCCCCACCCTCCACTTACACTTACCCATACAATGAAAGACGCGGCAGTTTAGGTACACACTAATATAAACGTTATAACCACCTGTTTTTATTTTTAGACAATAATATCAATTTGCAAGAGCGAAGGCGTATGTATCTTTTCCTTAACTCTTCGGTTGCTTTTTTGCCTCGCTCATTTGCCAGAAGTGCATTTTTTCACTAAACCTTATATAGGCACCAGTTAAGGAGAGGATTGCTTTACCAAATTACTCATTTTCGGTTTTGAAAAGCTTCATGATAGGCCTTTAACACTGGTATAGATTAATGTTGCACTGGAAGCAGTTACACAATATTGAAGTCATTGGGATTTCAATCTCATGATAAATACACTGTGGCAGATGGAGATTATCAATGTGGCATATAAAGAGTTATTGCATGATTTGACACGAGATAAAATTAGATTGTGTTGATCTTCATTTTGAAAAACTCGTGTGATGATGAAATATTATTATATTAATAACATCATAACATGAAGTGTCTTTTCACATATTATCATGTAGGAAAACAAATTAAATACACATAGTTGCAATATGATGAAAACAGAAGCTTTAATGATGTTCATATAATATTGTCTACATACAAAATAAAACGGTAAGGAGGTTTGTGACCAAGAGAACGACAAAATTAAAAGTTGTCGAATTGAAACGAAACAGAACAAGCTAAAAATTAATCTATACTTGACTTAAGATTTAAGTGCGTAATCAATTACCATATCCTTTCATAAACAATTATTATAATATAGTTTCCAGACACATAACAGTTCATATACTGTTAACATTTTTTCATCGATCAAAGAGTTAAACAAAACAAATCATTGACAATGGTAGAGTATTAAATTACAGTAAAAAGCAATGTAACATTATAGTGGAAAGCAACATTAACAACATTGATTCTTGTGAAACATATTTGTAAGTAAATCAAGCAATTTTTCAAAATGAACAGATTCAAATTCTGCACCGATCTCTTCACGATTCCGTGGAAAGACTGTAGACAAACAATTTTTTGTATAATATCACTTAGGAAAAGAAACATTTACATCAATTTGAAATTGACGATTCTGAAAATTTAACAAAAAAACAAAACCACTTTTAAATGTAAAGGATGTGACGACTAACACATGCAGAGAGCAAACATAACAAGAAAACTGAATGAAATATATGACTATGCTCATTTTATGCTTACACATTTTAATGCAAAGTACGTATTCCTTAGATTAAAGGTAAAGACCAGTTATGGTCATGCGATTGCATTGCGAAAGAAACGTTGTGGAATCGATCAGAAAAGGTTGATCATCTAGCATCTAGCATCTGCAAGGTTCTGGAATCATCAAAATGATAAGAAATTTGGCCCATTCTTCGTAAAGTTACAAGCACTATACACAGAAAGATGTATATGGGACTACCCTATATCTCTCACAGACCATGAGAGAAACAAATTTACCAAATATATGAATTAGTAGGCGGTTTCCCGGCAAATTTTTTATCATCATGTATTAGTCAAAACATATTCTTTCACATGATTTGTAATGAGAGCTTCCATTTCATTTTTTGAAATTGGGGCGTTTCCAATACTGGTCTTTACCTTTAAGTTATTATTACGAAATTATTTTCAAATTTTACATCGTTTACACACGAACACAACACAACACATTTCTTCTATGCCTATATGCCTATATACAGAAAAGATGACATTGGTAATCGGAACGACGATATTCATGATATTAGGGACGTGAATCAGTTTACCTTCCTCAGTTAGTTCAGGAAATCTGTTGATTAATCTGAACAACTCTTTCATACTCTTACACACTGTGAGGCTGCTCATAATCGTTTTCAACATCTGACTGTATCTCAATGGGGACACTGCTATCATTTGGGTCCAAATATACATCACTTGAACTGTTGGATGAAGCGCTGGAGTAACTACAATAGTTGTCACTAGGCTCAGGAGAATGATCGCGGCAAATTGGTTGCTCTTTGGTGATGTTTGGATGAGACGTGGGGTTGCGTAATTTTGAAGAAGGGTTCACATGAACATCGTACAGAGGATAAGGATCTATACCAATATCACTTTCATTATCCTGGTATGCGGTGTCTACTTTTATGTGCTTCAATTGTGCAAGCTTAAAATGTCTGTAGATGGTGTATGAAATGAGACCGACTATACAAGCCATGATGACTAAGATCCCTAAGATACCCAAAAATGTCATTGTAATTATTTTCCATATTGCCGTGTGGCTTGATTGAGCTGATATGGGTAGCATAGGCATAGTTTTGTTAATTGGTAGGGTTGGAGTAGTTGGTGCCAGTCGAACATCTGTAACCCCCTTTGCTCTTTGTGGAGGGGAAGAAACTATATCCTCACTTGATTGCTGATTCGTGAACCATTCTGTTAGGTTAATTGAAGATGATATGTACGTACTGTTGCAAACATCTACCAAGCAATAAAGACCTTTTGCGTGATTATCCAGGTGCAAATAAAAAAAGGTAACCTCTGACGTAAAAGATGACAGGCGTTGTTTCTGGAAGCTGCCATTCTCCCTTGTCAACTTGTTCTCATTAAGATACCAGTAAATCTGAACATCATCGTATCCTTTGAGATTATCTACCGTGCAACGAACCTTAACTCTTGTACTTCCAAAGTCGGTCATATTAGGCGTAAGCACTGCTATACTCAGTTTTATGTCACTTGGACAGACCAAGGGTGCTGTAATCATTTGTCTTAATGGTGTGGTCAGGTGACTCGACATATCTATAGGCAGTACCTTCACATGAGAAGAGCCAGTTGCTCGACCTATGGAGTTGGAAACTACGCATCGTACTTCGGCGGCAAGACCCTCTAATGACACCGTGTCAACGTTAACCCCAAGAGATACTTCAGCAGTCTTTGACACCGATTCACACCCTCTGAACAACCCATGCGGTAAGCAGCTCCAGGAGTAAAACAATTGATCCGGGTACCCGTTTGCGACACACAGGAATTCAACAACATGGCCCGGACCGACCTCTGGGTTTGAAGGCTGAACAATGACCCTTGGTGCATGGTACACCATAATAGGTCCGATGAAGCA